CCTTTGTAGCTCAGGTAAGACTCATATACTCTAAATGGATCTAAATTCAGTGAAGTTGCTTCTTGTTCTTAAATTAGCAACTTCATTATCAACCAATACAACAAGTAACACAATAAACCTTTACTTAGTTATATAAAGAATACACTAAGGTACATATACTTGCTCTTAAACACGTACAATAATCCTAAAAGTTCAAAACCCCGCTGATGAAGCCAAGAATTTATTTCCATGTAGATAACATACACAGCTACCTATGTGTAGTCTCCTCTCAACACTTACTTGAAGAAAGTAATTCCCAGGCTTTTCTATACTATTGTTTAAACCCCCAGCACTGAAGCTGTATCAGAAAATGCTGGTAGCAGTATTTCCTGCCACTTGAAATCAGGCATAACAAAACTATGATTGCTAAACAGAGAAGAAAATCTTTATGGAAAGTAAAGACATTTACAAGATGCTAGGTCATCCTTTAATTATGCAAGAGGATTTTAAAAGTTTTTAATGATATGGAAATCAGTGCTCTTTGTGTCTACATTTTTATACTTGAAATTGTAAAGTACACTTCAGAACCATAAGTATAAAACTGTGAGACCAATGTAAAATATTCAGATAGTGAATTACAAGATGTTTTTATTATTTGCCTTGAGGTTTTTGAGTCTTCAGGATATGATTTTATCACATCTGCAACCTCTTCTCCAGGTGGCTTAAAAAGGATTTTTTAAACAAAATGAAATGACAGCCAAGAATCCTGTATCATCATTTGATCCTAGCAGCTGAGAGCTCACAGAAAAATATCAGCTATCATGAGATTTGTAATACAACTGCAAGACCTGACAATCTTTGATTCAGATCTGATGTAAGAACCTGAATTCAATCACAATTAATCCTGAGAGAAATGATTCAGGTACAAGTTTGTTGAATGCATTTATCCCACTGATAATAATTTATAACTTTACCCTGCCATATAGATAACTGAATTTGATTCCCGAGGTACCAGGTTTCTGTTCACACCATCAGGAATGTGTTGGCCTAAAGGTGTGTGAAAATATTGACTACAAACTAAGAAAGCATAATGAATGCTGTAGAACAGTAGGACACACAACATCTCTTTTATAGGCATGGCAATAGGACAACTACATTACTCATGAATTATGACACTAACAATCACTTAGGGGACTGATCTGAATTTATGCCTCTAAAATGTTTTTACCATACCAGAAAGCCATCATTTCAGCCTATTGCATGTATTCTTAAGTAAGGCCACTTAAAAAAAAATCAAAATTCTTGTTATGCTTAATTGATAGTCTTTTCCATATTTCTTCAACTGTATAAGTCAGAGTTTAGCAGAAGGAATCCTCTCATAATGCTTTCACATGAAATGAGCAGTGATTCAGATCTACTGCATTATAAAAAAGCTACTCTTTAATTTCATTGCTCATAGGATATCTGGATTTAAACAACTCCCAAATTCAACACTATATATTGTCCTGAAGAAATTCCAGCAAAGCAGATTACAAAAGGAAACATTTCTTTGACAAGATCATTTTTTAAAAATGGGAGCTCTTAAAAGTTTCTTGGGTGCTGGGAATCTGAGTAGTCACATGTGGAGATGAAGAGGTGGGCAGAGTACAGGTGAAGCAGTGAAAAGTTCAGTCATCCACACCTGGCAATTATTGCATCAGAAATGCAGTTCATCTGTGCGAGGAAGACTGTCAGAAGCAACATGTGTATTGCAGGAAGATATTTAGGATATTTCCATAAAAACCACGTGAGTAAGAGTGATTCTTTCTACTGAATTCTCCCTTTCACCAGTTCTGTCTCACTAGATTAATATATCAAGAAATAATGAGAATTTGGGAAACTTAGATGAAAAAAACATCTAGGCCGTAGCATAGTTTCCTTCATTTTTGCCAAGCAAACATGAAGGGAATGGTTTATTCATTTCAAGGACATAAGAGAAACAGTTGTTAATAGTTTAAGAAATGGTTTTAAGAACTACAAAGGGTGAAATGAATAATGATGGTTATTATTAACTAATAATGCCTTCTAGAATAATGCAAAATATGTCAGGTGTTAAACATGTCAGCCAAACTATTTCTCCTCACCCCAAGACACTCCCAGGTGAGGGGCTTGGATGGGCATGGTCCAGCATTAGGCACTGCATGGCAGATAGGAAGGAGCAAGGTTAATCAGGGAGGTGTGTGTCAGCACTGTAACCGGAATGCCTCCTGGTAAAACAGCAGCAATGGATCTCAGATCTCCCTCTATTACTGCTGCAGCAAAAGGATTTTTTGCCTTTATATCTGCTAGAATTTAAATCTGACTCCAAACTCTTTAAATTAACTAAAACTGCTACCAACTCAAAGGGAATTTTGCTTGATAAATCCTGACTTTAAAATTGGAATCTGATGTTACCTTTGTTGTTTGGGGCTGAAATCCCAGCAAATACAGTGAATTTATTTTTAAGCAGTTTCATAAAATGAGCATGGATGATGCAAATCTGACCTGGACAAGTAGGTGAGCGGCCAGAGCAAGAACTTGCATTTGGTGCAGCCCAGCTCTGAAGGCTGGAGGTCTCATCGGGGCTGAGCATATTTCCCAGTCAGAGCCCAGGGAGGAACCAACTGAGATCAGTTGGTATAAAACAGAGAAAGGACATAGTACTATCATAAGCATGATGGCAAAGGAAGGACATCTGTATTTCTTAATTTTTGAGGAATCCATCTATCTGTTTTATATTCATATTGAAAGATGACAATTACATTGGTTAACTCGCCATTTTACACTATACCTGAAAGGCCAAGCAATGAGTCATTTCTACTTGAGCCAACCTTTTTATAGCATAAAAAGGCAAATACAGATCCAAACATGCACTAAGGCTCTCTTGCTGTAATGCTTTGCCCTTTGCACGAGGGTTCCCCCGGCAGTCTTTAGTTACTTCACTGTGTCTGTGGGGATCCCCACAGCTGGCAGACAAATACTAAAACCGCAGCGATTTCCTCACTTATTATTTTTGGCAAAAAAACGAAGTATTGGGCTGTGTGACTCCCACCAGTGCAGAAACATATCACTGAAGGAGGCAGGTAGTGACATACAATGAAATTCAGTGAACCTGCAGAAAACCAGAGTGTTTGGCCCCTGCAGGAGTGAATTAACAGAGGGGTAAGGAAGTGAAAACTTCCTTTCTCTTGCAGAGCTACTGTGCACCCTCTGATGTCGGGGCACTGCTGGAGACTGCAATAACCTTAGCAGCCTCTTTGCACCCAACCCAATAGCTGTCATTCATTCCAATGAACGTGCATTCCTGGGTCCACCACGACTTTGCTGATGTCCCAGTTTTATGCTACAGGTCTCTCGTCTGTCCCTCTGGAGAGGGTGAGGCACCCAGAGTCTGTTCACTCTGGATTTCCCTAAAACTGACAGCAAGTACTTACTGAGCTTTCCAAAAAGGCACCACAGCACCAATCTGTCCCATGGGTAAATGTCAATGAGGTGGAGATTTAGGGTTTACTCTCAATATCTAGTAAGCAGCATTGATGCTCTCACAAAAAAACTGTTTTGTAACAGTTTCAAAAAAATGTGCATTTTTATACATCTGCATTTCCATACACCAAAACAGGACTCATTAAAATCAGCTGACTGGAGCAGGCAAATTCTCTTCTTGTTGAAGAAGGGTAGAAGTGAGTATAGTGCACTGCAACCTAAAACCCTTCCTACAGGGAAGCTCTATTTCCCAAAGATAAATTAGGCTACACAGCACCAGTAATCATCAGAAGAAATTTAGATGATAGAAAACATACTATACTGATAACTTCCTGGAGTCATGCTTATCTTTGTGTTACTAGTCACCACCTACATAGGTGAAGCAAGGTTAATCACAGTAGGAAACTGTTATGAAATAATTTTGACTGAGGAAATAACCAATTAAGTTTCCCCTGCGGCAAATAAGCATAGCTGCAAGTGTTTGAGCTACTCTGGAAACAATAGTACTATTCACAAGCTTAAAGTAACTAGATTTTAGTATATGCAGAAATAGGATATAAAAGGAAAGCCTTCACGTATCAACAGTTATAATGGACACACTGTCACTCCAACTATCTTCCACGTGTATATGGACGTGTGCATACACCTATTTAAGGAGGCTCTCTGACACGCTGAAGCCTGCTATACACAACTTATTTGTAGCATGTAAATCAACAAACAGGCAAAGCTTTCAGCTTCTAAGAGCATTTCTCGGACCAAGTGTGCTTTTGCAAACAGATGCTGCAAAGCATGAAAACAACCATTCTGACTAATTCCGTCTCTCTCAGCAGAAACCCTATCTTTAAAAGTCACTCATCATGGAATGGCCTTTGGTTGCAGAAAAATGTGAAGTATGCTTTAATTACATCCCCAGTGGCCTCCCATTTGACGTCCTGTCCACTGTATCTCTGGTGAGACAGCCTTATCTCTGGATATTTTTCAATTACACTAAACAGCATTTCTTCAGGTCCTCACTGATTCACTGTATCAGTATGTGGCTATTTGCTCTTTAACTGTAATTTTGAAATGTGAAGTCTGCCTCCTTAAATAATGTAAGATTTCCAATTACACATAACAATAATGGCTATATTAATTAACATTACATTCAAATGGAATCCTTCTGAGGATACGTATCACACTGCTAACATGTTTATACCTAATGTGTTAATATCAGCTCATGTTCTTACAAGTGAATTCTTGCTTTATAACAATATATTCTAGTTGTGAATTAATCACTGCTTGATTAATTAATAATTAATTAATTATGTTAGGTATGTTGTCCCTTATTTTAGTGTACTATATCATCCATATGTTTCATTCACATTTTGTTTCCTCTTTACAACAGTTAGTCATATGCATCAAATGAACTGGATATCAGCCCTGCGCGGTGAAGATGCCTTTTCTATGTCATCTGAGTTTTCTGAGTCAGCCTCTTGCAGCACTCTGCAATACACAGGAAAATTCCCTCATGCACATCTTACCTCTTTGGTGTGGGTATGGAAGGAGACTGACATGTCCAAGAGAAGTTTCCTCTGTTCCACTCTCCGGACAAAGTCCTGAATCCGTACTTCCAGATGCCGGGCTGCTTTATAGATCTCTTCAGGGTCACATTCCCCAGTCTGAGCCAACTGCTCTGCAGCCTCCAAAAGCTTGTCTGCATTGGTGTACGTATTCTACCAGCAAACAAAGCAAGAAACGGAATATGAGTAATACAACTGTGGCAAGTAAACCCCTGAAACAGGCTGCTTATACTTTCAAAGGCATGAAAGCAAGCAATGACCAAGTTTTAAAACAACAGTTCCTACTGGCACTGCCATCTGTGAAATGAGAATGTATAAAGCCACATAGACTAATCCCTGAGCACACATGAAATAATTTATTTGAAACACACCACCCAGCTGCATCCTGCCAGGCACAGCAACAGGACTGCGCACTTGTTTATTTCCAAGTCCCCTGGAATTTCTCAAAGATAATGTGATGAAGCAAGGGGACTAACCACCTCAGAAGCCTACAGTGCCTCACGTGACACTCGGCTACAGGCTCGTTGCAAAGCCTCCCAACGGCTATGACGTTACAGCATGTAATCATGTCAGCCAGAGATGTGTCAGCCTCAAGAAACATTTGCCTTTCGCTGGCTTTTGTGCAATAACTTGAGAAGACTGTGTCTTCAAGTTCCTTCTACGTTTTTTCCTCTCGTCTACTGATCTACGTTGCATTTCTAAATGGTGTAAGTCTATTTGATCAGCTTGCAGCTGCCAATAGTAATGCTCAGATTGCCTTGGAGAGGTATCACTTCCAGTCTGTCCGAGGTACGTACCTGCCCTCTGGTACATAACAATTTGAACACTTCACCACTCTGAACAGATTTACCCCACAGCCATGGCCTTTGCGACATGTGTTACCTCTGCTTTACAGAGAGGGAACTGAAGAAGGCAGAAGCTAAGTGACGTACCCAAGACATGCCAGACTGCGGAGGAACAGAGGTGGATTCCATCAAACTTATCTCAGCTTTCAAACTACCTGCCTATCCTTTCTCTCCCTCTTTCACGTTTCTGGAAAACACCACTAAACTAATACACCAGACAGTCTCATGAATAACAGCAGAAATGGAAAGGGAGTGCAGTCATCTTCTCCACAGCCATAGAGCTACGGTTTAGTCAGTTATGTTTAGCTAACTAAACACAGCCAGTCCTCACTGTCAACAGAAAAGCTTTCTTCACTCAAGTTGAGGCCGAGAGCTCTGTGGCGTTTAACACTTAACAAAAGTAACGGGAGACAAAGATATCAGCCTAAGGGTGTTTCCAGTACCAGGTGAGATCTTCAGAAATGCTCAGCATTTCTAAGACTGCTCTCACTGGGAATTTTAACCTCTCCATCAATAGAAGCAGAATTGTAGCACTTTCCTTTTCAAAATCCTACTGAGAATCCTCCTCAGTTTAAAAATGCATTAACCTTGTACATATACACAAAATACCTTTGAACACTGTGGACACACATGTACTTATGAGCATTAAAGGAACACTGTCAAAAATAAAAGCCATGAATCAAGTCACATAGTTCTTACATAGATAATATGCTGCTGCAGTCAATAGTTGCTGCTGGAGAAAATATTCAATACAAAGATGGAACACTGGCCTCCAAGTGTTTAACAGGGGAAATTATTTCCAGTTATAAAAAGCAGAAAGAAAACAGCTCATTCGCTGTTCATTTTCCCAGTTTCTGAGGGCTGACTATAAATATACAGTATTTGCATTTCTCCTTTTGGACTGTGAAGAACATATTCTAGACAGTTTTGTTACCAACAGTAAATTTTTATGCCCTCGCTTTCAGTCTGCTGCTATAATGGTTAGGCTGTTAACAGTGGCAAAATGTTATGTTTTAATAATCATTTTTTGGAAACCTCTTTAGCTGAATTTGTAAAAAACGTTCCACTTACTATGCTCTGAATTAGGGTCCAATTTCAGTTAACAACATCCTTTCTGAATGATCCTCTTCCAATAGTATTTGGAGCAAATGCCAAAGCTAGCACTATTTTTCAAAGTCTACTCCACTCTAGGGTTTTTCACACATTACCACTACAACAGCTCAAACACGAGTCCAGCTCCCTGGGGAGAATGCTGTCCCCTACTTTTATTTATAACATTTAGTATACATTTAAACACATTCACTCTCTGCTTGGGGCACAGATTTGAGACACAAACACCTTTCCTGAAATACAATATGAACACAGCTTGGCTGCATTCGTTCCTAACACGCTTATGTTCATCTCTGCTGAAAACCATTACAAATTTACTGACTCCAACATGTGATATACCTAATTATGTCTAAATGAGGCGAGTTTACTAATATGATGATCAAGGATGCAGTGGTCCTGCAGCAGTGCCTTTGTATTGCACAAGTTTCTCCAAAGGCAAAGAGGGCTTTCTGCAGGGAAGCTGGCTGGGTGTGGAAGGAGGCGCACGCAGTGCTTCCCCTGGGCTGTGGCTGGCACTGTCAGCATCAGTGGTGCTTCCCTGAAACATTCATACCTAATTTTGGACATGTTTGCTTAAATGCGTTGTGCATGAGAAGCCTAAACACAGCACATTTTAAGTATGGTGAAACTTTTGTTCACCTCTTTTTCTGTCTTTGTCTACTGAGTTCCCAGCTAAGTGTCTGGGTTTTAAAAACAGGTGCAGTTTATGATAGGAAAAACACTAATAGCTTTATCACTGTCATTCTAGAAGGAAGGCCTGGTGCTGAGAGATTTCCAGTTCACTGTTGCAGATTTAAGAGGTTTAGATACACTTCAGATGAGCAACCACATTTGGGAGTTAACCACACTCGCCTTGAACTTCAGAGTTTGACGTACTCATGAAAGGATTGTCATCTACTGTTAGATGAGACATAAACACAGCACATGCCAAATAAGATAGAGGTCAGTTATTTGGTGAGGGCCTGCTCTACTTTTGTTCTGTTCATTTGCTTCAAGTGCACATAAATCATATCAGAAGTTGTTACACATGTCAAATATTTTCATGTACATCTATTTCTCACCAGGTGCTGAACTAAAGCTATATTGAACCTGAGAGCTTCATCCTGGCTGGTACTATAATGCTACACTGCTTGCCCACTTCATACATTTTCATCCTGAGCTCGCCCTCTTGTTAGTAAGCTCTTCAGAGTACAGACCCTTATTTCATTTGTTTCAAGTATTTTGTAAGTTTTTGGTGTGAGAGAATCTCCATCCCTTACTGGATATGGCA